GCCCTCTGCCATGATTTCCAGCTGAAGGGGTGCACACACACAAAAAAAACCCTAAACTGATTCTTAAAGAGGTGGTGATGCTGCAGTTTTATGTACATACATATGATTTGAATGCATATGCTAAAACATCTCCTCCAATTTGAGATTCATAACGTTCATTTGAAGTGATCCATTCAATCTAATTTATTTTACCCATGAAAGACCTATGTTCAGCACCTACTGCCCAAGTTCCCATCTCCACTTGGAAGGGTGAACTACTTTACTGTCCTGTCTATCCACTGTACATGCATCCAAAAGTTCCCAAATAATTTCCCACTCAAGGATGAGAATAAGCTTGCTTCCCACTGAAATATCCCTGTCTCTGGATAAAACACAATGCCTATTTAACAGCACAGAGCAACACTGTCACTGCAAAAGATGATATGCATGGTCTTGGTTTTACATCCTGACCATCAGGGGAGCATTTCTTATTGCTATTCTGAGATGGATTTTGGCAGTGAACCCAAAGGCAGGAGAGCATGTCCTACCTCTTTCTGCACATATCAGGTTCATGGTGCCCTTGTACCTGGTCTCAGGACTTCCCACATCCAGCACTGACAGTGAGTGAGGTGTGTGGTCATGGTCACAAAAATGGTTTATTATTTGCCTTCACTGCAAGAGTTTTAAACTGTAGGAGAATAGTTGCTAAGTTCTGAGGAAGGAAAGCAGGATTCTAGAGGGGATGAGTTGGAAAGGCTATTTATTTAGGGCATTTGTCTGACCTCCTTACTCAGGCAAAAAGTTATACCCATTGCCTTTGATAATTTCCTGTTAACATTTTCTTAAAGACCCTGTCCTTCTACTCAAAATGTTCAGTGACGTTGTAAACACTTGCCAAACACAAGAGGATCTCTCTGACTGCTGATCCCTGAACATTTTAAGACAAGGAAACAAATGGACCTGAACCAAATCTTCTCATAGGATTGGGAGCCCACTAACTCTCTAAATATTTCCTATCAGTGACCTGACTACAAACAGAATGGTAGTTCTTTACAACATCCCCTGTGTGTATGTGGCATAGAACAGGCACAGCTGTACCCATATATAACACATTTTACACCAATATATATGTTTTATACCAATATATGTATCACTGCAAAAAAAAAAAGAGAGAATGATACTTCTGTGGGGCTGTGTTTCTTTTATATTGTTTTTATCATGTCTGAAACAGGAACAGTACTAATAAAACTATCTTGCTGCTAGCCCCTCTCTCAGAGAGAAAAGCTAGCACTGGTTCACTGTGATTTTTTATTTCAAAATACATATGTTATCCCTTGTGTATGCTTGTGTTTGTGCATGAGGGGTAATGTATATATTCGGAAATAAAAGAAACACCAGTGAATGTATGATACTTCTGTCTGACATCAGGATGAGCTTGTCACAACCAAGTCTATGTCCCTGACTTGGACCCTAGTGGTAAAACTAAACTGACATCAAGTTGGTTTAGTTTACACCAGCAGAGATTTCCTAATATAGGCAGGTCCTATCTCTTGTCCTTTCATCCCACCCCCCTCTTTAATTTGGCTCTCTGAGTTCTGATGACTGAATCACTTCCCCCTTTGTTTCTCTGATTTCTTTCCTAATCTTCTGCTCCTGAAAGATGCTTAGTTCCTGAATCCCTATACAAATACACTTTCCTTTCTAAGCTTCTCACCAGCCAAACAAGGTTTTATTTGTTTATTTAATTTGACATGTCGGAGAGAAATGATCCCATTTCCTATGGATTATCGAAGTAACAAATAGCTTTACAAGAGGGTAAACAAAGTAAAACTCATGCTGAAGCTCCTTTGAACTGGGGGCTTCCCATTCACATCCCTTCATAATGTGAGTGTTTCCCCTCTCCTCTACACAGTACACAAGATGACTTTCTGGTCACTTTGGACTATGGCCACCAGCTAGCCATCAATTCCTCATCCATCCTTCTACAAACTTTTCTTGAATTTCCAACAACATGGCCAGACAGCTTTGAACTCACTCTATGAGGGAGCATTTTATCCATCTTGTCTTTGCCTCACAGTGCAATTCTCCTCATTCACTTTTCATTTTTGCAAAAATGCAGAGCTAGAGGAACCTGGTGGTGAGCCTGGGAGCCTTCATGGAGGCAGGGATACCATGGTGATTTTTACTGAGTTCTGCCTAACTCAGGCAGCAGACATGGTATACCTAAAGCAGCACTCTTCAACACACCTCCTGCAATGTACGTTTCTGGAGAAAAGCAGACAAAACAACAAAACTCAGGTATGCAACTGGGCTAAAATTTGTAAGGACTCAGTGCCAGAGGTGGTGATGAGCTGCTCCCAGGAGAGGAAACCCCAGCAGCATGCAGCTCACATTTTCTCAGGGTTTGGTTTGGTGGCTGGGGCCTGGCTGACTTCCCCCCACCCCCAATATCCCTTTCTGTTTATTACTCCTGCTGTAATTGGGAGGCATGTGTGGATGAATTAAACATAGCAGGACAGATGAGAAAACTCTCCCTCTTAGCTGGCTGAATGAGCAAATTTAACTGAGCCTGTTACCCACTGAGTATCGTGCCGACATGCCAGGGTCCGGTTTCCTTTGAGCTCGCCCTTTCATGCGGAGTCCCTCTGTGCCCCCTGCCTTGCTCCTCACAATATCAAACAGCTGGAGTTTCAGCGGCCCCAAGGAGAAGCCTTTGCATCCGACAGCAGCAGCAGTGGGAATTTTGTCTGGGATCAGAGAGGGACAGGGCCAATATGGGCAAATTGGTAGCCAAGGATCAGGGGGGCTCTGGCATCTCCAGAAGGAGATGGGACACCCCCACCCCCCAGCTATAGGCTGTGCTTGGTCAATGCCCAGAGGAAAAGTTTCCTTATGCCTGAGGAACTGAGGTTAATGAGGGGGTTTTGGCTTTTGCGCTACTTTCGAGCTTCAGACAGGCCTGTGGCGTCCAGAACCCGATTCTGGCGGGGAGTTTGAAACAAAGGCATGCCAGCCTAGAGCAGGCATCCCCAGTATAGCAACAACAGCACTTCCCGAGAGCAGGACTGCCACTGGCTTGTGCTGGGATGCCAAGGGGACGTGGCTGCACAAACCAGCACCCTGCTTTGTCCCAAGGCATTTCTTTTGGGAGGCAGGTGAGAAGAACAGCATATGAAGGGCACTGCTGCATCCATCTATTCCCTCAGCCCCAGGGATAAACAGGGAATGTAATCCTGCAGGGCTGCAATCTTTTCTTTCATACTGTTTAACAAGCCCTGGGGCACTTCTTTGCACAACGTAGCTCTAATTCTGCTCCCTCACCTTTTTCTTCCCACCTCTGTAAGCCTAAAACTAGTCAGGGCTAATTCAATTCCTGCTTTAATTTAGGAGAATTTACGACTGCTTTAAATTAGGAAACCAGCATTTTTCAGACAAGGCAGGTGCTAGAGGTCTTAGCACTTGTAAAAATTAGGCCACTTAGTGAGGTGTCTACACATGGATTTAGCACCTGAGGAGTGTGTTACTGAGTAATATAAGGAAAAAGTTGGAATCTTGGAAACAATTCTTTAAAAGATAATTAGAAAGCAAAGTTAACATTTCAGAGGAGGGAAGTTTGTGTTCAACCTGATAAGCTTACCCATTGAAACCAAAGTTGAAGAAGCCATCAACACACGCTCGGTTGGAACTCAAAAAAACCTACAGAAAAATCAATTTTAATATTTTCAGTACCCACGTAATAAACCAAGGGAGTAAAAACCCCAAACACAAATTGAAAACACTAAATCCTTTGCATCGTCCTCATGGGAAATGAGTAAGCCAGGAGATCAGAACTCTCCTAAAGTGCCACTAAGCAGGAATAACTCTGAAACCCAATGATGACATGATGAAAAACTGCAACTCTTTCTTCTTTGAAGACTGAAGGACTTCACATTTAGAAACTACAGATCATGTTTGTCATCTATGGTCTTCTGTATATGGCAAAAATGTGAGAAACCTATCCTGACCTTTCAGTGACAGATTTGTTTCAAGATTATCTTTACTGACGGGCCTTGAAAGACTGAAGATTTCCCTGCACCTCCGGGTAAATTTAAGTTTTTAGGCGTGAATTCACTCTTTGGTGCAGGGAGACGCAGAGAGGAGGAAGTGGTGAGGTTTAATCTCAGGGAGCGGTGTCACTGCTTCTCCTGAGAATTTGTCCCCGAGACACTCTCCGTGAGAGCAAGCACCTGCTAGGAAGGGATGGTTGGAAGAAAAGACCTTTTCATCTTTCTGGTATTTATTACAACCGATGCCGGCCGAGGGTGGCGCGGGGTGGCCGCACCAGTGAGCTCCCGGTGCCGCTCCAGCCTGCGGTGCCAGCCCAGGAGCCCGCGCCCCTCGCCCCTCACGCCGGGCCGGCGGGGCCGCCTCCCCCCGCCCACAACAACCAACTTTTCCTCCCAACTTTCCCACTTCCGCCGGCCCGGGAGCGGCCCTGGGGGCCCGCGGCTCCCGCTTCGCGGGGCTGGGGAGACGGGGATGGGGCTCGGCCGCTGCCTGGCTTTGGGGAAGGGGGTTTTACTTAGAGTTTTCTCCCTCCTCTGGCTCCTCCTCTTCTTCCCTCCTCCTCAGGGGGAGGGGAAGGAGGGAGGCTCTTGGGGCAGGAGTAGCCGGAGCAGGGAATTGTTTAGGAGTTCAGTCATCCAAAAGCCGTCTCCCGTATGGAGGGTCTGGCTTCCCGCATCCCGGCGCCTCTTCCCTCCTCCTCCTCCTCCTTCTCCTCCTCCTCCTCCTCCTCCTCCCACCGCGCCTGAAGCTCAGCGCGGTCCCCCATCCCCAGCGCCTACCCGCAGAAAAAGCACAACCACCACCCCCAAACCAAGGGCCCCCTCACTTTCCCCTTCCCCCCAAACCAGGCTTTTCCCCTTCTTTTTCTCTCTCTTTTTTTCCCCCTACTTCTGTGTATGTGCGCGCGCGCGCGCGTGTGTGTGTAGTGAATTCCCCGCAGATCCGGCCTGGAAGTTCCCAGCTCCTGGAGTTAAGCCTCTTTGTTGCTTCCCTTCGTTTGGGGCATCTTTGTGTTTCCCCCCGCCTGCTCCACTGGAGACCGCGGTGAGTGAAAGAGAAGGGGCCCGGGCCTGGTGGCCCTGGCGAGGGGCCGGGAGGACGCACGGTGGCGGCGGGCGATGGGGCGCAGGGCTTTCGCCCCAGTCAGCTTCAGGCAGCGGCAGAGTTCGGGAAGTTGCTGTGGGGATGTGAGGAAGGGGTTCTGCCTAGGGATGCAGGAGACGTGACAAGGGAGTACTGGAGACCCTCTGGTCCCCACCGGGACGGGGCTTGTTTTTCGCTCAGGCAGGTGAGATGTGGGGGGCTCGGATGTTTCCCTCCAGCTCTTCCTTCTCGGCGGCTCGGCCAGAGCTAATGGAGGGCCCAGGGCACTCACACGCTCCGCGGTCCTCCAGGGCTCGCCTGCAACTTCCCCAGCAGCCTGGTCCTCACTGGCGGCCGGGCGAGGAGGCACGGTGAGCAGTGAGGGACGAGGAGAAGCTGTGCAAAGTAAGCCGCAGATCCATCCTCCATTGCTCCAACTCTTGTCAAAAGCTGCTGGGAGTTTACAGGCAAGAGCTGTCTCTGGCAGATGCGAAGGCATTTCGGTGTGTGCTCTGTGAAGGGGCTGCTGTTGCTAAGAAAAGCGGGGGTGGGTAGTCTGTCTGTCAGTAGAATTTTTGTCCTTTTTTGTGACTGTGGAGTTTCTAACCCTGGTGTAAGGATGAGGAGTGATTTGGGTCAGGGGAAGTAATCTGCCCGGCAGTAGGATGTTGTGGGATTTGTGCATGCGTGCCTCCCTGCTTGGACTGCAACTTTGGCATATCATTGCATGGTGACTGTAAATAGAAAATGTGTTGGGAAGAAACTGGGATGCTGAATTTGTAGCCATGTCCAAACAACACTTTTTCAAGTGCTCTGAAGATACTAATACTTTGGAAAATAATAGGCTTTTACCAATACCCCTGGCTGGCAGAAGGTACTTAATACAAATCTGTCTTTCAGCATTTCCCAAACTTATTCTGGTACCCCAAGTGTTATTTCACTGGCATTGTGTGAAAGGCAGTTCATGTCTATTAAAGTTGGGCTTTTTTGTCCTTGTTTGTTTTAAAGAAACTCTCTTGACCTCTCTGCAGCATTATGTGAGTGGGATAACAGGAATCCATACACACACTCAGCACCCGCATGTAATTCCCAGCATGTCTTAAATGTTTTTCTTGGTGCCCAATTCTCTTAATTTCTACATTGCTACCATAGTGTCTTTTTGATATGTTCATTTGGAATCTGCCATTAAAATTTCTTTTCCCATGGGCTAAAAAACTACAGTGGAAAATATTAGAAGAATGTGGGCATTTTGTAAGTAGAATTTTATCTTTGTTTTCTTTTGAAACTAATTGACTCAGTGTGCCTACAATTAAGAGGAGGGTTCATCCGTATTTATGCCTGTGTACTTACATAGCAGTCACTTTAAATTAATGGGTTGAATATTGAGGTTCATGTCTTGGGGAGGGATTTCAGCAGAAACACATCATGGGTTTGCAGTGAAGATTTGTTCTGTTTATTTAAGTGACGTGAAGAAATGAAGGTGAAATAAATTCTCATGCTGCTAGGAGTCATGTGGGGATCTTCTGAAGTAAATAGGACAATTAGGAAGAGCTGTGAGCTCCCTGCTGGGTGCATGATATTCTCTTACAAGAAGTAAATGGGGTTTTGTTCCATGTCCTTTTCTTAATCCTCCCCTTCAGATACAGTTACAGGGACTCATCCTGCATGTACCAAGCAGAAGAGGTCCCAATAGGTGTTTGCTGTGAGGGTTGAAGTCAGATACAGTGCAGTCCTCCCTGCTTCCTGCTGGGGAATGTGAGGCAGGTTCATCTGAAGGGTGCACAGAGGTCCTGTGCAGATGGGAAAGGCAACTTCAGTTTTCTCCCACTTGTACACACACACACCCCCAGGACCTTTATTTGAGAGATATCCCACTACAAGTACCCAAATCCACGCATTTCTTCTCTGCTTGGCGCAATGAAGAAGCCTTGGAGCTGCATGATTCTGCATGTGTGTGTTCCAAACTAGCATGTAAGTTGTATGAGTTCTGTGCATCCCTGCAGTCTGGAGAAAGCAGCTTTTCTGTGCCTTCTACTGACATGATTCAGAAGCACAGGGTGAGAGGTTCTTCGAGACTGCAAGGTGAAACACAGTGTCTGGTGTTTGCAGAGGTCTTTCCAGCCCTCAGAATATGAGACTCCTGGCTTGGAGTTTTGCTCCACTGAAGGACAGGTGAATCATTGCTCAGTGCTCTTCACTGCTTGAAATTCTGCTGTGTCCTCAAAACTAACAGCAGACAGATCCCTCCAAATCTTCAACCAACAGGCTACCAACCTGGAAGCCCTGCAATACCTTCATGAAGCTAGTACAGCTCCTCCTGGCTGACTAGGGCCAGCAGAATTGCCTCTGTGGGAGCCAGCTGGAGCCTCCTGCCAAAGAGGAATGCTCAAGAAGCATCATGGGCAGGGCTATGAAGCAAGCAGCCTGCTTTGTCCCCATACTCCCCAGTGCTGCAGAGGAGAAGCTTCCTTTCCTGAGTTAAGAAAAGTTGCTCATTTAGGGCAGACCTGAATTTTTGTAGTTCCTTGTCATTGTTACTGACACACTTGACTGAAACTTCACCAGATCTACCTGCCAGTTTTTCCTGGTCTGTTCCTGAACTACCTGCCCTTAGGAGCACAGAAACCTTGCAATCTGATAACAAGCATAGGTAAAAAAACAACTATTGCTTCTTCTACCTGGGCTGTGGGAGGGAGCACAGGTGACAGGATGGAAAGGCACTTCAGTTGGAAGCGTGTGTTCAGAAGTGGAGGTGTTTGGGCTGGGTCTTCAGTCCATGCACATGCCCTATTGTGAGCTTGAATTTTCTCCACAGCCCTGTGCCTTACTGTTCCCTTACAGAAAATGGAACTGGACCCCGTGCTGATGGGTTGAGCGCTGGGAAGCCAGGCAGATACTGCTGTCTGTGTTGGCTCTTGCCAACTGGCCTGTACCCACCCTCATGTCTCTCAGAGGAGAACTCAGGTGTACTGGGGAGGACCCTCTCTGCTGTGCTGAGCCTCCTCGGGACTGCTACAGGGCTGGAGAGGCACTTCTGTGCTTCCATAATCACTCTTTTCCCCGGCAAAGACAGACCGTCTGTCTCCCAGCACCCCGCCCTGTGTGCCTCATGAAGCAGGGGAGCAATGACAGGAGTGTGTTTGGGACCATACTGGTTGTTTTAGCCCACATTGGCCTGCAGGTGGGTTTTCAGAGACTTGAGCTGAGCTGGGCTCAGTTTAGTCGTGCAGCCTGCAAGGTGTTGCAACAGCAGTAGGCCAAGGTAACTCCAGGTTAACAGAAGTTCCTTTGGCAGTAAATAACGGTGGGTTGTTCATTTTAATATCTGATGCCGAGTGCCTCAGAGACATGAGGCACAATTCCCTTGGACTTCTTTAATGTGCAGGGGTGACTTTGATATATTACTGCTGGCTTGTTACAGACCAAGGCTTGCAAATCTCTGGGTTTAAACCATTACCTTCCGGGCTAAAAATCTGCAGTGTGAATTCTGCAGTTAGGATGGGATATCCTACAAGGAAAAAGTTCTCTTGCAAAATCTTTGGAGACTTCCTGTTTCTGGTTAGACTGAAAACATCCTGAGGGAAAAAACCTGCTGCTGGTTGTTCTGGTGCTCCTGTGGTCAGTCTCAGTTTAAGAGGTTGTTATGTATTCCAGTTCCTAGGCCACAAGAACAATTTAAAGCAAATAATGACTAAATGAATTGCAGGTCCTTAGGTAGAATGGGGGTGAATATCATCTTTTGGGTTTCTAAATGTACTTTGGGTAATTGTTGAACGTAAGGTATCGCATGCATCTTTTTCCTGATACTGGGTTTAGTTCCTCTTGGCTCCGAATCATACGACATCATATCTGCTGCTTCATTGGCTGAACACAGTGCTTGAAGCTGGTTCTCTGGAGGGTATGCGTGCAGAATGGGGAGCTTTCAAAATTTGCTTTGTATGCATATTTGTGCCTAAGTCTTCTAAAATCTCTCCACAGGAGTGTGTGCTCCAGCAACACAGCTGTCTGAGTGTCCATGGGAAGCTAAGACAAAAGGAGTATGGATGCAGTGGAAGCAAGTTGGCTGAAAAGCTCAGAAGGATATTTATTGCAGGGAAAAGAAACCACTTGATGCTTACACAGTCCTAGAGCTGCTGCGGGCGGTGCAGAGCTTTCTGCTTAAACATGGAGCAACAGATCCCTGCCCTGGGGATGTTACATGCTCCTTTTATTAAAATGGCCTCTTTCCCCTGCAAAAGGACAAATGGGATGGGAGGCTCAGCTCTGCCTGGTGGGGCTGGTAGCAGAGCACCTGGACTGGGTGCCTGTGAGGGGCTCTGAGGGCTGCCATTGTGTGTTGTAGAAGCTCTTGAGTAAGAGGCAGTGCCAATTTATTTTGGCTCTAGTGGCATCGATGGAGAGAAATGTGCGTCAGGAGGCGTGTAGGACGTGCTTGAGCTTCTTTGCCCTCCTTGTGGGCAGTGTGCCAGCACAGAGGTGAGAGCCAGACTTTATCCTTGCTTTCTGTTCAGCTGCTCTTGGGAGGCTGCTGCCCTGTGTCCAGTCATCTTCCCTGAGCAGCCATTAGATGTGAGGATGGCAACTGCGTCTTGTGCCTGTGCAGAGTGTTGGAGGCTTGCAGGGCAGAATCCACACCACACCACGCCACACCGTGTTGCCCCTATGGAAACCCACCGTTGTCAAGTTTGCAGAGGTTTTGGGCTGCAGTGTCTCTATGTCTGTGTGTGAAAAAGCCAGATGGTGTTTTGGAAAGCAGTCATTTTTCATTAACTTCGGTGCCTGCCATAGGCAGTAAATCTTTCACCCCAAGCCCTGCAGGAGCAATGCCATTTTGGGTCTCTCAGGTCCACTCTGGCAGAGGGATTAGCTAGCAGGTTGTACTTTCATGCACAGCCATAGACCCAGGGCCCTGCCAAATGCAGTGATGTGTTCTCTGGCTGTAATGTCAGCGAGTCTGAACA